TAGTGCCCCATCATTGGTATTAGTGGGAGGAATAGTGCCCCATCATTGGTATTAGTGGGAAGAATAGTGCCCCATCATTAATATTATTGGGAAGAATAGTGCCCCATCATTGGTATTAGTGGGAGGAATAGTGCCCCATCAATAATATTATTGGGAGGAATAGTGCCCCATCATTGATACTAGTTGGAGGAATAGTGCCCCATCATTAATATTAGTGGGAGAAATAGTGCCTCATCATTGGTATTAGTGGGAGGAATAGTGCCCCATCATTGGTATTAGTGGGAGGAATAGTGCCCCATCATTGGTATTAGTGGGAAGAATAGTGCCCCATCATTAATATTATTGGGAGGAATAGTGCCCCATCATTAATATTAGTGGGAGGAATAGAGCCCCATCATTGGTATCAGTGGGAGGAATAGTGCCCCATCATTGGTGTCAGTGGGAGAAATAGTGCCCCATCATTGGTATTAGTGGGAGGAATAGTGCCCCATCATTGGTATTAGTGGGAGGAATAGTGCCCCATCATTGGTATTAGTGGGAAGAATAGTGCCCCATCATTAATATTATTGGGAGGAATAGTGCCCCATCATTAATATTAGTGGGAGGAATGGTGCCCCATCATTGATACTAGTTGGAGGAATAGTGCCCCGTCATTAATATTAGTGGGAGAAATAGTGCCCCATCATTGGTATTAGTGGGAGGAATAATGCCCCATCATTAATATTAGTGGGAGGAATAGAGCCCCATCATTGGTATTAGTGGGAGGAATAGTGCCCCATCATTGGTATTAGTGGGAGGAATAGTGCCCCATCATTGGTATTAGTGGGAGGAATAGTGCCCCATCATTGGTATTAGTGGGAGGAATAGTGCCCCATCATTTTTGTTTGTGTCAGGAATTATGCCCCACTGTTGATGGACGAATAGTCACTAAGGGCCAGATAAAAGGCAAGCAAAGGGCCACATCCGGCCCTCGAGCCACAGTTTGGAGACCACTGTCATAGATGAACTCTGTATTAAATAATATTCAAAGTGCTTGTCCAGTCTCCGCTGAAAAAAAAATAAAAAGTCAGCAGCTACAAAAACTATAGCTTCTGACTTTTTATAAAAACAGCCTGTCTCTTGATCAAGTGGTGTGTTCACCCCAGTCAGGTTCACCGGCTGTCCTCTGTCCCCAGAGCCAGCATCTTAAAGCGGAGTTCCACCCAAAAGTGGAAACTCCACTTTCCTGCCTCCTCCCCCCCTGCCACATTTGGAACATTCTGGGGGGAGGCAGGGGGGTACCAGGTTTTAACAGGTACCTGCTCCCACTTTTGTCGAGGCAAACACTTCCAAGGTCCCAGAGGACTGCGGCCTATTCACAAAGCGCAGCGCGTATAGAATACAGTAAGGTAAAAAACCTTGAGCCTTTAGAACCACTTCAATTCATTTAATTGGCCAGAATAATCATTTTTCAGTTTTGTTTTTTTTTTAAAGAAGCTGACAAACGTAATTTGCTGGCAATTTTAGGTACTTCTTTCTTTTATAAATATCAGCACTGCTGCAGTAATTTCTGTACATCACAAAGATGCACCCCTTCATGGGCAGAATGAGGGCGCCCCCCAGGCATTGTATTTAAAGGAATGAGGCAATGTTATTGTTTCACATTAAGCATTTAAATATCACAGCTCTTGCCTGAAATTCATTTTTTCTTTTTTATTTTTACATACTCCCAGGGCAGTGCCCACTCCCTCCCCCCTAACGGTGTTTGTTGGAATGAAGTTTTCGTGTATTTTGTGCAACAACTACATCAGTATTGAGTAGAGATATATTCTTCAACCAGGAGATGGCAGTGTTCAAAGTTTGTAGCTGCATCTATGGTATATCCTCTGAATAAAGTTTCCTGTTTCCTTGTTGCAGTGAAGTGAAAGTGAGGACAAGTCCAACATTTTGAGCTGTCCTCATATCATAAATAGAAGGGGAATTTTGCAGTTAGTTCTCAACTGTCAACAAATTTCCTTTCAAAAAAGATTTCCTCTCCCTTCCTGTTGTGTTTTTTGGTACAGGAAATAAAAGAGGTTTCTCCTTAATGGGACACAGACAGCAAAAACAGTAAAAATCTGATGAGTTTGAACCATTCTACCCTCAGAATGGATGATAAATATGTGCATTGCTGAAATGTATTCTTGTTTATAAACCATATTTACTATCCCTTTTTTTTTTAATAATAGCATTGAAGACTTAGGCTTTATAAAGCAGTGAATGTGGCTTTTACCACTTTCACTGGTGATGAATCAATCCTTGTCATGTAAAACATCTGCACATGGAAGATTCACATGCAATGAATGTTTTGATTGATTGAATAATTGATTTGCAAATAAGCCCCTTAATGTCAGGGAAAAGAAACTATTTTATACAAACCAGATTAGCTGTTGTTGTGTTTAAGCATCTAAAATATTTTATATATATTTCTGAAAATAATATCCGTAGATGTTTTATAGCAGGTAATATTTCAAGCTTAGGGGTCTTTTAAATTATTAAGTGCAAATATTCTGAGAAATAAGGTTCTCTGTGCGAATGACGTGTCCATATATATTACTGGCAAACAAGGAGAAGGGAAAGTATACATATAAATAAGCAATAGACTTTTATGTCCTGAAAGGATGGATTTACACACCATGTTCCCATCTTGCTGTAGGCCAGCAGCACATGTTATATCAGCTTTGCTGTCAGTAGAGGGGCTGTGTGCTCAGTTTTATGCAGGGGTCAGGAGGATGGCAAGCAGGGGGAATGAAATGTGCTGTGTGTTTAAAGACCACTAGAAGGCAGTCATGAGCCATGCCATGCCCACCAGCATTATTGCACAACATATTTGTTGTCCAATGAGCAGGCAGGTGACACACGGAGATGCAAAGCTACAACAGGAAATATTGGAGTCACATGGGTGGCAGGGAGCTATGGAATGAAAAGACTGGCTGAATAGAATTCTAGAATTAGAAACCCTTTGACAGGTTAAAAAAAAAAAATCACTCATTTTTATAAATATATATATATATATATATATATATATATATATACACACACACACACACTTTTTTGTCTTTCTTCTCTTTACATAGATAGATAGATAGATAGATAGATAGATAGATAGATAGAGATAGATAAAAATAGATAGATAATGAGAAGACAAATTATATATAATTTTTTTTTTCTTGACGGTATATTTGTTTCCTTTGAAAGCCAACCTCCATCCACAACTTTGTAATAAATTTTGTATAGAGCTAGGAAAATGTTGGGGGTTTTCTGTCAGGTGTTTATTGATATCTTTTGGAATGATTACCAGACAGAAAGTGATAGGAATCCTCTCCAATGGGAACGCAGACAAAATGCATTAACATAGGTTTAGTAGGTTTTTTGGCAATATAGTGTATATAACTGGACAATATAATTTAATTTGCACATGAAATTGCATATTTATTACGCTGAACTCTGGGTGGATGTTGAATTAAACGAATACAGATATTCATTTTGTAACAAAATAATTGAATGTGTTTTTAATGCACGTGTAAATAACTAAATCTGACCTTATTTACAGCTGTTCTTGATGTAAAAGGAAAGGGCATCACTTGGGCCAACCGGGTCTCCTACGGTGACATTTGCTGACAAAAAAACATGCAGATGGTTGGAGAGATGACCTTATCAGTTTCTTGCTGCTCCTTCACTGTCCAATCACAGCCTGTGGTCAAAAATGTGGCAAATCTGAATTGCTTAAATTGATATTAATCCCTCAGTTTTTGTGCACTTTCAGCAGCTGATTTAATCACTTACTGAGTATGCAGCTTGTTTATCTCTTAGGAACAAATGGACTGTACCAACCGAACACCACAATCACTGTTAGAAATTTCTTCTATCGAGAAATATTTTCCATCCCCCTGCTTTGAATTTTCTTGTAACTGTGGTAAAAAATGAACATTGATTTAAGCCAACTAACGATTGTAAAATTGAAAAAAACCTTCTTAAAACTAAAACTTTTGAACAAAGTGTTCTATTTTATGGCAAACTTAATAGAGTATGCACCATCTTTATCCTTTAAAGCAGAACTATACTCACCTCAGTTCCAGCAATGCTGCGTCCCTCTGCTCCCGGTGCGGCCGCTGACATCTTCAAGCGGCCGGCTTCCAGGTCTCGATCGCCGGCTGTTGTCATTGACCGGGTGGGGATGACGTCAATCCCGAGTTCCATCAGATTCGGCGTTGCCAAATTTGTACAGTGCGCTGCGCATGCGTGGCTCACTGTACAGAGGAGGACAGGCAGGTAAATAACTTTTATGCAGAAGAGACAAAAGCATGTTTCTTCTGCAATAAAATTCCTGCCTGTCTGCCAGTTTTTTATTATTTTTGATTTTTTATTATTTTAGCTAAAGTTCCACTTTTATCCGTGTCTCTGTTCCTGTTTATAGTGGTTCTAAAGCCTAAACATTATTATTGAGGGTGTCAGTGATGGTTTTCTGCACAACTGTCAGGTCAGCAGTCTTTCCCATGATTGTGATTCCTACTGAACCAGACTGAGAGACCATTTAAAGGCTCAGGAACCCTTTGCAGGTGTTATGGCTTAATTAGCTGATTAGAGTTGGACACTTTGAGCCGAGAATATTGCACCTTTTTACAATATTCTCATTTTCTGAGATTGTGGATTTGGGGTTTTCATGAGCTGTAAGCCATAATCATCACAATTATGACAAATCACGGCTTGAACTATCTTGCTTTGCATGTAATGAGTCTATCTCATATATTAGTTTCACCTTTTAAGTTGCATTACTGAAATGAATGAACTTTTGCATGATATTCTAATTTTTCGAGTTTCATCTGTATATACCTGACTTTGCAGTTCTGGGTAGGGGGCATGTGTGCTCCCTACCCGTGCTGCCATTTGCGACCTTGGCTGTCAATCACTGGATCCCGGCTGGTGATTACTTGCCGGCACCCGGTGATCTCCGAGTATCTCCGACAGGGGAGAGACCTATATGTAAACAATACAGATCTCTCCCCTGTGAGCTCCTGCACACTGTTTTGTATAGCTGTGCATAGCAGAGTGTCTACAGTGTAAAGCACACACACAGAAAACAGCACACAGGTAACCCTTTGATCACCCCACATGTTAACGCCTTCCTGCCCAGTGCCATTAGTACAGTGTCAGTGTTTTTTATTAGCATTGATCACTGTATTAGTGTCACTGGGGATGTCAGTGACACCAAGTCAGTTCCCCCCAGTGTCAGAATGCCTGCCGAAGTCCCGCTATAAGTCACCGATTGCCGCCATTACCAAAAAAAAAAAAAAAAAACCCCAGTATATATACCCGCCATTTGTAAACGCTATAACTTTCACGTAAATTAATTAATTTACACGTATTGGATTTGTTTTCAGCAGAATACATTTTGGCCTAAATTTATGACAGCCGATCAAAAACCACCAAAAGAAAACTCAATTTGTAATGAAAAAAGGACAAATTTCATTTGGGTGCAGTGTTGCATGACCGCGCAATTGTCAGTTAAAATAACTCAGCGCAGTATCGCAAAAAATGGCCTGGCCAGGAAGGGGGGTAAATCCTCTGGAGGGCAAGTGGTTAAGGAATGGCCGCAGCTGCCGTCTGGCCACACCCACTGATGAATTTTGCCCCACCCACCGGGGCTTGGTTTCCTTCCATCCACAGCTTGGAGTGGGGCCATAAGTTATACCTTTCACTGCAGTGTATGTTACACAGGTCAACCTCCTCAATTACTCCATTAGGTTAGGCATATTCCCATAGATACAAGATGCCCCCTTCAGTATCTTCACTCAAGCAGATAGGTGCTCAAAGAATAAAAAGCAAGAAGCTACAGTGCGGTATCCGCTCCTTTCTCATCATGCGCCATCTCCCTTTGCCCCTCTTCCCCCAGCAACACTGCCCCAGTTTTCCTGTATCAGGAGGGATCCTTGCTCTTGCAGCAAAATACAGAGCCACCCTTGTATGCAGGGACTAGAGTTGTGTCTCCCTACACTGTGTGCATCGATAGAAACACACAGCCCCATATCCTAGGATGACAAGGCACTCCCCTGCTTCTCCCACCTCCCTTCTCCAAGGTATAACTTGACTCCACACTACACGGTCCACTGTTAACTCTTACCTGTGAAGACCGGAAGTTCAGGAAAGCAACTCTGAGAGAGGAGAAGGAGAAAAGTTGTAAAGGCTGGGGTAAGATTTTAACAACATTTACTTGGGAATTTTTATGATCCTATTCCCAGTGCATTAAACTAAAACTTTAAAACTGTAATAGTGAGAAGGCAGAAATACACACCATTTGATAGGTAGGCTCCTATACAAGCCCATTGTTCTGCCTGTGCTGAACTGCTGGAAAGTTACATAACCTTCATCAAACTTGGCAAACATCTCTATCTTTGTACCGGAGTCTTAGCGATTCACAACGCGGCATGAGCAGCCTGACATGTCACTGTTTATGTTGTAGAACATACTTGGCAGCAAAGTAGGGAAACTTATAGGATGCCTCTTCCCGTTCAAGGAGAGACTTTCCGTGGGTGGGAGACGCCAGCAGATGTCACCGAATGACAGATCGGCGGGAGCCAGCGACAACCCATCGTTTAATGAGACGTGTCATGTGGAAACACAGGACCGTATAATGTGACTATGTGATCACAAGGCAACCAGTCTTTGTTTTGGACCCCCTCCTCCTTCAACTGTCTTTTTTATGTTTCTCTATGACAATCCAACCTTTTGCAGATTTTCTCAAGCTGAGGGACATCCCATAACTCAAAGAGAAAGAAAAAACATAATGAATGCAGGCACATATTCATTAACCACTTCCACGCCGCCCTATAGCAGAAATACTGCTACAGGGTGGCACGAGTGTGCAAAATAACGTACATATTGTGCAGTTCCGGGTAAAGGCCCTACCCGCGTCGCCATTCACGGCCTCAGCTGTCAATCACCAGGTCCCGCCGGGGGGTTACTCGCTGGCACCCCGTGATCTCCAACGGGAGAGAGACCTGTATGTAAACAATATAGATCTCTCTCGTCAGCTCCTGCACACTGCTTTGTATGGCTCGGCATATCAGAGCTATACAAAGCAGTGTTCTTACAGTGAAACACAGCACACATAGTGAAACAGCACACAGTTAACCCTTTGATCGCCCCAGATGGTAATCCCTTCCTGCTCAGTGCCATTAGTACATTGTAAGTCTGGGTTCACACTTGTGCGGTACAGCATATCACATGTGATTCGCACAAGAACCACACCGCATTCCTATGCAAATCACATGCAAATTCTGTGCAGTGCAATTTGAGCCATGCATTTTGTATGGCTCAAATCACACCACATCCACACCAAAAAGGTGCAGGACTAATTTTTTGGTCTGCACTAGAATCGGATCGCATGGGTATTCACACCTATGCGATTCGATTCTGCACATCGCACCGTGTTTTGTGGACCAATTTCGGGGTGTTAACTTAATATACACAACTGCAGCGGTTCACATGAACGGGGTGATTGGAATTTGCACAGAAACCGCTGCAAATTCCACACCGCATCAATGTGAACCCAGGCTCAGTGCTTTTTATTAGCACTGATCACTGTATTGGTGTCACTGGGGATCTCAGTGACACCAAATCAGTTCCCCCCAGTGCCAGAATGCCCGCCGCAGTCCCGCTATAAGTCGCTGATTGCTCCCATTACTAGTAAACAGAAAAAACTCCCTGTATATATACCGCAATTTGTAAATGCTATAACTTTCACGTAAACCAATTAATTGACATGTATTGGGATTTTTTTGTAGCAAAGACATGTCACAGAATACATTTTGGAAGAAAGCATACAGGTGGCGCAAACACCTAGTGCATTATCCATTATCACAAACATAGCATGTATATACAGTGAGGAACAGAAGTATTTGAACACCCTGCGATTTTGCAAGTTCTCCCACTTAGAAATCATGGAGGGGTCTGAAATTCACATTGTAGGTGCATTCCCACTCTGAGAGACAGAATTTAGAAAAAAAAATTCAGGAAATCACATTGTATGATTTTTAAAGAATGTATTTGTCTTGCACTGCTGAACATAAGTACTTGAACACCTGAGAAAATCAGTGTTAATAATTGGTACGGAAACCTTTGTTTGCAATTACAGAGGTCAAACGTTTCCTGTAGTTCTTGACTAGGTTTGCACACACTGCAACAGGGATTGTGGCCCACTCCTCAACACAGATCTCCTCTAGATCTGTCAGGTTTCGGGGCTGTCGCTGAGCAACACGGAGTTTCAGCTCCCTCCAAAGATGTTCTATTGGATTTAGGTCTGGAGACTGGATAGGCCACTCCAGAACCTTGATATGCTTCTTACGGAGTCACTCCTTGGTTATCCTGGCTGTGTGCTTCGGGTCGTTGTCATGTTGGAAGACCCAGCCACGACCCATCTTCAATGCTCTGACTGAGGGAAGGAGGTTGTTGCTCAAAATCTCACAATAAATGGCCCCATTCATCCTCTCCTTAATACAGTGCAGTCGTCCTATCCCCTTCTCAGAAAAGCACCCCCAAAGCATGATGATACCACCCCCATGCTTCACAGTAGGGATGGTGTTCTTGGGATGCAACTCATCCTTCTTTTTCCTCCAAACACGACGAGTGAAGTTTAGACCAAAAAGTTCTACTTTGGTCTCATCTGACCACATGACTTTCTCCCATGCCTCCTCTGGATCACCCAGATGGTCATTGGCAAACTTCAGATGGGCCTGGACATGTGATGACTTGAGCAGGGGAACCTTCCGTGCAATGCATGATTTGAAACCATGACGGCGTAGTGTTCTACCGACAGTGACCTTTGAAACTGTGGTCCCAGCTCTCTTCATGTCATTGTCCAGCTCCTCCCTTGTAGTTCTGGGCTGATTCCTCACCTTTCTTATCATCAGTGATACCCCACGAGGTGAGATCTTGCATGGAGCCCCAGTCCGAGGGAGACTGACAGTCGTCTTTAGCCTCTTCCATTTTCTAACAATTGCTCCAACAGTTGATCTATTTTCACCAAGCTGCTTGGCAATTGCCCCGTAGCCCTTTCCAGCCTTGTGGAGGTCCACAGTTTTGTCTCTGGTGTCTTTTGACAGCTCTTTGGTCTTGCCCATGGTAGTAGCTGGCGTCTGACTGACTGTGGGGTGGACAGGTGTCTTTAAAGAGCTCAGACAAGTGCTAATAAGTTAGATTAATGAGTGGAGTAGAGGTGGACTTTTTAAAGGCACAGTAACAGGTCTTTGAGAGCCAGAATTCTTGCTGTTTCTCAGGTGTTCAAATACTTATGCTCAGCAGTGCAAGACAAATAAACTCTTTAAAAATCATACAATGTGATTTCCTGAATTTTTTTTTAAATTCTGTCTCTCAGAGTGGGAATGCACCTACAATGCGAATTTCAGACCCCTCCATGATTTCTAAGTGGGAGAACTTACAAAATCTCAGGGTGTTCAAATACTTCTGTTCCTCACTGTATATTGTACATTCACATCAGTCCCTAACCCTCAAGGGGTGTACAATCTAAGGTCCCTAACTTACATTCACATACTAGGGCCAATTTAGACAGGAACCAAATTACCTACCAGCATGTCTTTTGTGAGGAAACCAGAGTACCTGGAGGAAACACACGCAGGCACAGGGAGAACTCTAGGCAGGTGGTGCCATGGCTGGGATTTGAATCAGCAACCCTAGTACTGCGAGGCAGAAGTGCTGACCATTTAGCCATTGCGCTGCCCACACTAATTAGCATCTCTTTAAAGGTTCCATATTTTATGATTTTTAGCACAGTTGTAAAGACTTCTGACTCTGATAATTTTTCCTTCACACCTTCATCTATCCGTTTACAGATATTGTTATAGATAATTTCAGAGTCCGGGTCTGATATTTGCCCACCATACGTTTTAAACTCCTTTCTTGGCATGTGTGCTGCTATGTCCCTTAATGTGAGTCTGCTTTCTGTTGGTTGCAATGGTCTGTCCTCTTTGAGAGATGGTCCACAATCTCTCGCCTTACTTAAATTAGGATTTTCGTAGCTGCTTTCACTTATCAAAGACAATTTCACCTTGAGAAGGTATGCCATACCTCTGTCCTCTGCATTGCATACTTCTCCTCCCTGCAGGTGTTCCATGATGTACTCACAGGTCTCCATCTCACTTCAATCTGTGGCGTGGGGATCCACTTTACATCTTTTTCCTGCATCAAGATAGCCAGTGAGTGCAATAGATTCTGAATGTGCCACTGCTGCTTCTTTACTGATGTTGGACCAGCCATTTTATGTTCTGTGCAGCCTCCCTGAAGTGTGTCACTTACTGTAATAGCCATTTCCCTTCTCTGTGACGTGTGGCACTGTGATTGCACTGATCCCGGACAAGTCCCCAAATGTTACAAGATAATCGGTAGCACAGACCACTTGTGATAACAAAAAAGGGTTCACTTATTCCGAGTTTAATGTGAGCTTGTTGGTTGTTAGTCTCCTGAAGTCACACTACAAATCATTAGAGTTCCCTATGGCAGCAGCCTAGTAATAGTTTTACTGGGAGTTTTAGTAATTTACTTGCTACATAAAGTCACCCCTGAGACTTCATTCTTGAGGATCCTGTCTACTAACACATCACTAGAAGACAACAGGAAGCTAAGTCAGATTCAGACCAACATTTGAATGTGATTAGTGATGTAGGAAGTAAAGAAAGGATATAGTGGACTACAATAACTGAGGCTAAGGTGAACTTTATGATTTACTGTTTCAATCATTTTCATTGGGTTTTAGGTGATGATAACAAGCATGCCCACGTAGGGGCTAAACATCTAAAAAAAACTAACTGGTAATAGGAATATAAAATCATGTAAATATGGTAGCAAACGTAACAGTGCATTGTAATGTTTACTGTGTTGATAACTTGATTCATTTTTGTCAAATATTGGAAATCAGAGCTCTTCAGAACAGCTATTTTCTGAACTCATAAAAAAGAGCTGGCCATCTGCAGGCTGCAAGTGGTAAATACGAAGTTTAAATAATTTTTCGTGTTTTTCCAAGTATATTAAAATAATATTTTGTAAATACTTTTTCAGCACTGATCATAAACAAAATATAAAAAACAATAAACAATAAATTCCCTTTAACTCTCACAGCCATTTGCTTAGCGCATTCTAAGTAGAGCCATAATTTCTCACAGCTTTATCCTTTATCGGGAATTTTGAGCAGTGTACCAGAATTTAATTAGATTGATTTGCATTTGCATTAATTCCAAGATTGTTTGCTTTGTTGTGGTTTTTATTAGACCGAAATAAATGAGTAAAGCTGTAGTTTTTATTCACACCTCTTCTAGGGCAAATTACAAATTATTGGCGGCGTGCTTGGTACGAGGGGGATATTTAATGACAGTTTGGAATGCATTGTCATTCTGACTGTGCATAAGATAATTCATTTTTGTCAAATTTTAAAAATCAGAGCTCGACTTTAGCCAATCTTTACATGTAGAAGTAACAATCTATTAAAAAATTCTCCTACTTTACAAACCTGAGCCCATAACTGTTGTAGCCATCCATTGGAGACATACAGTACCTAAATCCAAAGCACTGGACTAGACCAGCACCCCCAACTGTCCACCAAAAATCAGGGTGCTGGTTCCTGTGGTCCATCTCAGCTCACCATTTGAGGATATAAAAGATGAAGGCCGCATTACAATAATTAGCTCCTTCAGGCATTTATTCAACTTTCAACAAGGCAATGGCATGTATAGCATCTCCACCTGAAAACCACACTTGCTTAACGCTTTTCACCACTACTGGGCTTGTTCCTTGTGAAGTGTGATTTCCTGGTGGAGACGCTAGACATGCAACTGTCTTGTTGAAAGAAGGAGCCAATTATCAGAGTGTGGCTTTCATCTCTTTACACCCCATCCATTGGGGTACAATTTTACAGCCAAAATTTATAACCAAGATCGGACAAAGTTGTGGCTATCCTGGTAGTGTTAAAGTTTGCTTGCACCATCCTGAGTCATGTGCATTCCTACTGAGTAACAAATCAACCCATCATAGATGATTTATGAGGGTTGGAAATGGATAGGCAATTTTTGACACTACCAAGAAATCCCAGAGCTTTGTCCAATCAGAACTGCTCAATTGCTTAGTGATGGTCACTGCAGGTACATGACTGAAGTGCAACTGTAAACCTGTACTTACCTAGAGGCCATTTAACAGGCAACAATACTTAAATAAAAGGCAAAACAAAATTTCTCCCCGAAAATGTTCTTCCATTCTAGAAGCCCCCAATTCCAGAGAGTTCTGTTATGCAAATGTCAACATCAGCTTTGAAAGTGAACTCTAGAGCAATCCATCCAAAGCCCTAAATGTCACCCTTGTCCATTGTGGCTAAACACATGACATTAAAGCAGAACTTTACATTAAAATGAAAAATGTGCGGACAGGCAAGCCTTTAATTACAGAAGAGGCATTTGAAGGGTTAACGTGATTTTCATAATAGTAGTTGCTAGGCAGATTATTATTATTATACAGTATTTATAAAGCGTCGATAGTTCGTTCAGCGCTGTACATTACAAAGGGGGACAGAACATGTGACAGAACAACAACAATACAAAACATGAGGGGATCGAGGACCCTGCTCTTTCGAGCTTACAATCTAGGAAGGAGGGGATGGTGGCA